GAGAAATAAGGTTTTCTGATTTGGCTCTTATATGCACAAAAGACCTTTTCTTGTCTCATATATACATGTATACATATAAAAATATTACATACACTAATTCATATCTGGGTATGTATTTACATGTAGATATGCACATGCATATTGTTCTTTATACATGTATATACACAATGATATTGTACATGGGAAATTTTGTGTGGCTTGGTAGCCAATTATTGTTCAGACTTGCATATTTCAGCTGACACCTCAAGTCATCTCTCGTTATCAAGATTTATTTGTCGTCAGCTCCCTTCCAACATAATGTGATTGGTACGATTGTTATATTTCAAAAATTAAACATAGTAAAAGATTGTCTTGTACATCGGTTACTCTTTAAATAATTTTATTGTTTCTGTGGGTCTTTGATATGATAAATCACAATATGTTGTACCACTCTTAGTTTTGGCATGAGCTTGCTACTTGTTTGATTCTATTACGGTAACCATGCACTATAATTGGATAAGCAAGATATTACATTATTGATATTGCTTTTAGTTATATCCATTTTCACATGTATCCTACATTTTATACTTAAGACCCCATAGTAGTTAACATTAGCATATGCTAAGTAAGCTACCAGTTTTGCAGCTGACATATGGTTAGCATCATTTGTTTGTTTTACATTTTTATATGGTTCTACATTTATTACCTTCTTAAATTACACAGTACAGTTTAACATGAATAAAGATAAAAGTATATGGATCTTCATTGGTGTGCTAATTCTGCATTATGTGCATATTTAAATATGAGTATCGCAGCATCTTCATTTACCAGGCAATTTTGCACCATTTCTGATAAATTTGAAAAATTTTACATTGCATCACTCATTATGTAATACTTAGAGATCAAGCATCAATTCTTGTTAGGAGACATTGTTTACCTGAAAATTTTTGACATATGGTTTAGGGCATTTTTTTGGTGTTACACAGTCTATACAACAATGAGTTCATATGAACGAGAATTGGCCAGGGAAGAAGAGTGCCTTAGCAACTGTCTTTGTTAACTTAATGTATCCATGTTTAGTTACATGGTCCATGAGACTAAAATGCCAACTGATTATAGTGGTTTTCACTCGCTAAATGCTCTGGGTCAGGTAAAATCACCAGTTTACAGGATACAAAGAAAACTGTTGGAAAAGAAGAGAAAGGTTCATGTAATGAACTCCAATGATGTTAAGGATGTTGTTTTGTTTATATTAGTTTGTGAATTTCTCTTTGTTTCGCTTCTGACCACCTTTTGGCTTATAGTATGTTGCTTTGCTCTCCTGTGTTTGATTGGTTTCTTAATGTGAATAAGCTTCTGCCGCATTCATTTTTATTTAAATAATCAAAATTTCTTTTGATTTTCTGAATCTGTAATATAGACTTATGGAAACTGCTGGTCAATTGGTTAAGGCTTTGGAGGTGCCAGTGGTAAATGATTTGGCCAACAAGAAGTGTTATCTTCGTTGCCTTCAGGTAGGCTGTGTTTAGTTCAGTTTCATATTGTGATGGTGGTCTTCTCAAAACAATTTTTGTACTGTTGTCCCAAAAATTTCTTGCATAATTTGTTACATAACCTTTGTTCTGTCATAGGTTGATGATAGATTTATTTCAATAAACTTTTAATCCTTTGTATCAAATGGACTAAATGGCCCTAGGAAACAAATATAATCTTAAGCCTAGTTAGGAGATAAACTGAACACAGTCACTTCATATTTATAATTAGTAAGTATATGCTATATAATTTTCATGCTGTGATGAAAAATTATAACTTCGATGTACCTTGATTATTATGGTATTGAAATTAACATTATGGTTGAAGCATACACTATGGTTCATACTAGCAATTTAACACAAAAAGTGAATAGAAGAATTATTTTAATCCAAGCCATGTCTATATACTTCATGCATAGATATTATTGATGTTTCGTGTATGAATATAAGTATTCATACATAATAATAGTTATATTACATACAAGGATTTAAATACCATCCAATACTGGTTTAAGTAGGTACCAATGTACCAGGTGGCGTATTGATTTGTATGGTCTGTAACATTGAATAAAATAATAAAAATAAACATGTACCAATATGGGGCTATACATTTCAATATCGGTACTTGGTTGGACTAATAAATTTCATTTGTTATGCATCCATCTAATCAGCATTTAAAAACATTTCAGGGACTTCATCTCTTATTTCTATTATATAATGTCATACTTCCCTCTGGGCCTACAAAGTTATGACAAAGAAAGGCTCTTGCAAGAAATGGGAAGGTCATGTGAGGCTTGTGAGCTTGCTTACTTGTGTTGTCATTAAGCAAATTTTAATTGTCTCCTTTGTCATGCAAACAATTCCAAAAAGATTTTGATCAGAGCGGCATATGCATAAAATTGTGACTGACAAGTTACCTTTTTTATTATAACAAAACTATGGTTGACTAGTGATAAGCAGGATCAGAGGTCTTTCTCATACTTATTCTTAAATGAATCCAACAAGCATTTTTGCAAGATATTCTAGATACAAGGAACTCATTGTTGTAATAAATTTTGAAAAGCAGAATGTATCATTCAAGCAAGTCACAGAAAACTAAGTGTTGGTTTTCCTTTTTCAATAATACACAGATTTTGGAGGTGCTCGACAGCATGAAAGATCTGATTGATTATAGCATACAAACAGGGACTGGCCCTATAGGTAAAGTTTGCTTCTGCTATTTTTTTAAATCTGTTTCTCATAAAAGATACTTTGATTGCTTGATGCTGTAAATTTGGCTGATTCCATAGGACAATCTAGTCGAAGATTTTGTTGTAGCACACTTTAAATCATTATCTAAAAGTTAAAAATATCTATGCAATGCATTGGAAAGTTGGAATTAAAGTGTGCTTCATGTGGGTGATTTGGCATGCATATAGTTAAGAGTTTGAATACCTGTAGAAACACTAAATTACATTTTGATGTTTGTCCATTTACACTTGACAATTTCCTCACATTGACATGGGATTAGGAGACTGCTCTAAAACTAAAAATGTGTGTGTGTGGGACCGTTTTTTTGTGATTGCAAGTGTAAATTAATTAGTTAGGCTAAACTCTTATGATTCTTATTTCCTACTTTCTTTTCAAGCTGGTTCTTGTTCCTATTTAAGTCTCATCTCATCTTCTGATCCTTTTCTTTTCATTCAGATAGTTTGATCAACTTCCCGAAGAGGACTGCTTCTTCTTCGGTGCTCCATTCTCAACAAGTCCAACAACCTGATGTTCAGCAAACAATTCCCCAATATACAAGCCAATGTGATCAGACATCTGCTTATGCAACTGGTGTGCAGCTTTTATCAGCTAGTGGTAGTCTAACGAGTGTTGCTAATACCCTTAACAATTTACCTTCCACCTGTACCACAACTACCACCGCTGGACTCCGTCAGAACTCTTTGAACTCAAGGCAGGACAACCGGAGTAGCAATGTAAATGGTCCACATACTGGGAACACTGTTCCGATACCACCAGCTAGCTCCATTTCATTGCGTCAGTCGCAGCCTAATGTTTTTCCTCGCACTCCATCTTCCATACCCTCCACGTCGAACAATTTCCTCACTTCCTCTGATAACATTGGTCACCTAGACTCTGTTAATTCACCTGTGATAGCGTCTACCATGAAACAGCCATTAACAGAGTCTCAAGAAGATGATCCAACTGAAAGCCCTAGTGTTGATCGGACATTACAAGAGATGATGACCTCTCAGCGCACTGGTGTTAGCTCCCTTGGCCATCAGGGCGTCAGTGGAACAGGATCAGGAATCACTGGTGAAATTAGACCATTGAAAACTGCTGGAACATCAAGAGGAGAAATGGCAAAAAACACTGTGGCTATGAATGAACAGGCTGGGATAAACTACAGGTCAAATGATCCATCCGATGTGATCCATCAGCAGCAGGAGGATATGAACAGGCTTTTTGATGGCCTTGAACCACTCGACAACTTCGACATTCTTCAATTAATTCAGGAACTCTCCCAATGATATGGTAACAGTTTAAGGAGTTGCTTGAAAACATCAGATTTTTCCAGAGGAGCTCTTTGTAAGTCCTATACCCAACATTCTTTTGTTTTATATAAAAATTTTTGACGCACTGAAAGAGTTTATGATTGCGAAGGGCAGAGATATGTGAATGAGAATTGCAGTGATTTTGTTTCCTTTGTCTTACGCCGGTGCTGTGTGCTTGCAACCATGCAAGTTTGTTAGTGGTAAACTTAATACAGATAGAATCCAATCCATGCTACATGCTGACTTGCTCTCTAAAGCTACATGAACAATTGTTGATCTTGTTATTGTAGTTTATTTATCCATTAAAACTGAATGAATTAATGTACCTTGTTCTTGCTGTGATTGTATTAAAGTCCAAGCATGAACTAATTGAATTGACATATCCTTGTTTTTCTTCCTAAAATCTCTGTAGCACTTGGGTAATGAAGATTATGCTCTCTCGGTCTTTGAACCTACCTGAACAATAGTTATTTGTGTTATCATGTATCATTTGAACTAGGAGACTACATGACATGCAGTCTCATTCATCTTGGTTTATGTTATCTTGTACGGATTACCTGACTCGGGAAGAGGTTTGAGCTGTCTCAAGTGGATAGAAAGACATGGTTACTGTGACTATGACTTTAACCATATATCTCACATAGCCTCTGAAGGCATTCCATCGAGCACCTTACAAGTGAACCTATGTCAGAGTTCCTCAGACTGCAGTTGATAGTGAACCAACGCAGAGAGATTATGACCGAAGTAGACTCAGAGTTGGGTAGTGGGGGCACAGTTAAAAGCAAATATCCAAGAAACAGGAAATCTAAGACACTCGCTGTTTTCAGCTGAAGTGATGAGTGAAGGAGCTGAGTGACATGATGACACCCAGTTAGCTGAGACATGAAGGAATCTAATAAAGATGTTGATGTACTGGATCTTGGATTCTGGGCAACAATCCGACAGCTTTCAGCTGTCAATTTGGGTTGCTGGGTCGGTGTCTGAGGTATGCCGAGGAACAGCCAACCATGAAGACCGAAGGGACACAGCCTGTTTGGTCCAAGATTTGATGCCGTATACACATCTGGTAGAGCTTCACCGTGGACACAGTAGCTGTCAATCTACACTACTGGTTCACGCATCGAAGCAGTAAGCAATGAGAGAGAAGATGATTGATGTTGGCTGTGTTCCATCCGGAAATCCTGGCATAAAGCAAATGAAGCCTCGTTGGAAGGGAGCATAAAGAAACAAGTTCAGACCTTTGTGTCGACGGCCTTCTGCTCTGTTGAAGATGATAAAGCCACTCTCTCTCACCGCTCCTTTTAATCTCTACCCTGTCGAAGCTCACGCATCCTGTCCTCTCGTTTCTCCACCATGCTTTCTTTGCAGCAAGACTTGCCTGAGTTCAGAACATGGAATGAAGAAACCAATGGTGGCCATGGCCGTTTCTGCGACTCCGATGGCCATGGAGTAGACCAATGGATGGTGAGTTCAGAGTGGAAGAAGAAAGCAACCTTCCCAACAGATCCAGCCGATCATTGCCATGGTGATGATGATGATGACAAGAACGCTTCTTTGGGCTCGGAAGAGCATGTGCACGACGTCGAGGACGCGCCGGTGGCAGCTTATGAGCTCTCGCTCAGGGATCTGGTGAAGCTACCTGGAATCGTGACCGCCATGCAGGAGAACCAAACCGATGGCGTAGAATTCTCGCAGCAGGAATCAAGAAGTTGGGAGGAGAGAAGGAAGACGGACCAAGCGACGAAAGGAGCTTGGAGGAAGAGCCGCAGCGTCGACAATGGAGCAGTCCTTCTAAAGATGTTCTTCCCAGTATCCCTGGGCGGAAGGAGGAGGTCTGGAATCACCGGATCTGCTTCCAGGACAATGCCAAAGCCTTCATCAACAAAGGGAGACGATGGCGAACACTGTAAGAACAGTAGTTCGGGCAACACAAGCAGGTAAACCTGAAGAATCTTTTCTCTCATAGATCATGCGTGATGATCTTGAGCCGTTGTTGTTGCAGGAGAAAGGGAGGCTGTTCCTTCTTCTTTCAGTCGAGCAGAAGTAAATCCAGGAAGAATGGAGGATGCAACTGTTGAAGGAATGCTAAATACTTTTGTGTCCCTTGCTTTGAAGTCCCCCTTTTATTAGCTTTCCACCCTTTATGTGGTAAAATTCTTTGCTCGTTGACTCTCAAAGTCAATCATGAGCTTGAGTCCACTCTTATTTTGACCATCCACATGAAGAGTGGGCGGGGAGTCCAATCATCAAGATGCGTGCTTTTGATCCGATTCATGTAATTGCTCATATTTTTAAGGGAACCCGAGCGACACATACCCTTTTCGTACCCGTTCTGTGTTTCGTCGAGAGAGTCACTCGTAACTGCGCTCGCGTGCGATTACTCAAAACTTACACGCTTCCGGTGATACTTCGAGTCTCATTTGTTGGTTATTTATTACGATTCCTTCCCTGGACGCGACGACTCTCTTCGTTCTTTCACGGTCTCCGTTCCAATCCTCTTCTATTAATCTCTCTCTCTCTCTCTCTCTCTCTGCGGGTAGTTTGTCCACGCGACTCCGTCCAGTGCCGCCAGATCTGAGGGTAGGGGGAAGACATCGATCCGCCGCATGCATTACCGGCCACGCGACCGGATCTAGTGGCGGGGGATCCCCGCCCGCCGATCGCTGCCATGGGCGATTTCGAAGAGCCGACGGGTGGGGAACTGGAGGTAGTGGTGGTCTAGCTAGGGTTCTTGATTTGGCTCGGGATGGCGCCCGCCACCGCGGCGTCCGGAGGGAGCTGGGTTGAGTCGGATAGCGGCATGTCCTCCGATAACATCAAGGGTTTGGTCCTCGCGTTGTCCTCGAGCTTCTTCATCGGTGCCAGTTTTATCGTCAAGAAGAAGGGGTTGAAGAAGGCTGGCGCTTCCGGTGTCAGAGCAGGTCAGAAAAGTATCGATTTTTTGTGCTCTGCAACCAAAGCATGTTTAACGAAGAAATCGGTGTTACAATCAACAGATCAACAAGCCGAGTACTCAAAACAGAAAATATTGTAAGGACTGTGCAGTTTTGAGTACTCAACATCGAATTCTTTGTTAAACATGCTTTGTTTCTTCCCTCTTCTCTGTTTTCAGGTGCTTTTCATTCCTTTTCCCTACGCTATTCGGCAATCTATACTGTGTAATGTCGGTGATATGTTGTTTCTGGAGAAACGCAAATCGGTGCTTTATTTTATTTTAATAGATTTAACGACGCCACATGTCAATTATGAAGCTAAATCTGGGAAAATAGATCTGCTTGAGGACTAAAAAGGATGTAGGAAGCCTGTTTCATAGAGATCATATTGGACAATGCTTCTGGTAGTAGATATCAGCAATTTAATTGTGTTTCTGAAATTCCATTCTACATCACAAACTGAAATGGGTTGTATTTTCAAAAGGAAAAAAACCATAGAATGTGAAAAAATATATAAATAAATAGAAAAGGCAATGTTATATTCAAAAATTTAAAAAGATAGGCCCGAGGAGTGTTCAAAAAACCATGGAATATGACGACACCGATGCAGGGTCTGAGGAGTGTTAAAAATATGCAATCTTACCATTCTTAGCAAAGTTGTGATATCTATGACACAAAGCCTGGTCATCCAAGTTGTAAGAGAGCAATCTTAGCAGTTGTCATAACACCAAGACTTGAATCTACAAATTACATATATGATAATTTAGTGCAAATATGCATCAGCGATTATGCCCATGAAGTGAAATTAATCCTTTAATGATTGGTTATGGCGTTATGCTCGAGAAACAGTTAAAAAATTTGTGAATTTAACTCTCCATGTGTGAAGCACATTTGAAATAGGATTATGGATATGATGTTGATGTCGTTCTGTTGAATGCAGTCTTTCTTAATCTGACTATTCAAATCAAGGAACTAAAAATACACGTCTATTTGAAGATTATAGGTTTCATTGACATTCTAATACCTACTCTTGCTTCTAATTTCAGAATTCTGCAAGACCATCTAAAGTCAGTTCTATAAAAACATCATATGCATATAGTCTGGAATGAAGATAACTCTTCTGACCACTGAGGCACTGACAACAATATCCCACCTTAACTGTGAATCACAGTGCTGTTTGCATTTTCAGTAACTAGCAATTTTGTTTTAATAATTGGACGCTTCTAATCAACCAACTTCCACTTGCTTGATTTCTAATTTGAGTTCCCTCCCTTTTTTTATTAGAGCTACATTTGCACAAGTTCTTCCCCAAGACAAAAAAGCATATAAGTGGTGTACTTTTACTTCACACGCGATTGTACATGATTGTTTAGTAATGTTTGACTTAGAAGAGGAAATTAAACACATCTTGGGACAAAAAGAATGGTTTCAATTTCTTAGAGAGAGGACAGTTCTTCTATAGCTCTAAGACAGAATCATGGATCTGGAAGAGTCACAAGTGGTAGATAGTGCGACTTGTCAACCTGGGGAACTTGTTGCAAGAAGTACATAGTGGGATTTATAGGTATATTTGTCCAGAATAAGAAAACCTTCTTTCTTGTTATTCCTACATGGATTATTTAGAATAGAATCAAGCAAATTAGAGAATAAATTATGTCCTTCACATTTCTTAGCCAGACAGGGGACATTTCTTGCCACATAAGGCTATAGGACTGTTGTAACTTTGTGTCTCTTTGTCTCGATCAAAATATTACAGATACAAATATTGGAGTATGATTGTCATGTTGGTGATGATGGTACTAGGACTCACATTTTTGCTGCATGTTACCTGTATCTAGTTTTACTCGGCATAATTAAATTGCAATAGTTGCTTTCGTCATTTCTCTTATGCAATTATATGATTGCTTTCTTATTCTTTAGTTGCATAATATTATCAAAAACTTATAAATGTTGTTGTTTTTTTACTTCACAACAGGAGCAGGTGGTTATTCATACTTGTATGAACCACTGTGGTGGGCAGGCATGATAGCAAGTGAGTACTTACCGATTGCATTTAGAAAGTTTTCATTTTAATTTGTTGGTGACGGTCATTGGTTTCTGTTTTCTTAATTGGTTTTGGGACATTTAGGTGCATAGGGAGTACCTTTGATGCTAAAAATTGGGTTCCTATGTCTTATCTCAAACATATTGAGCCCTCTAGATGATATTGCATAAGTTTCAAGTGTATGACTATTAGTTAGCTGTATCATTCTAGAAGCTACCTTTTCCTATTCTGAACTCTGTCCATATTTTATTAACAGATCCAAAAGGTGCATTGCCTAATAATTTTTTCTGTATTACAGTGCTTGATGTAAATTATGTTAAATTTTATGATGTTAGAATTAAATTTCTCGGAGGCTTGAATCATTATTCTATTCTGAGAGGAGCTTTGTCACCAATTTTTATTGAGCTCTATTTATGTATAAGTCTATGGGATTGAGAAGGTTGCATCTGGCATCTGTTCCACACTGATAACATTTATTTTCTCTTTTACTTAGGATAGGCTCTTATGTTCCGTGAGATGGGGCTCAAATTTCATATCATTAAAATGTTTATAATATGTCGTTATTAGTTGCAATGTACAAGAAGATACTTTTAACTTAAAACATCTTTGTTTTCTATTATTCCTCAAGTGTTCTTGGTTTATTATTTGGTAACGGCTTTTTCATAGGGACAGGAATGAGAACTAAAAAATTTGTCTGATTCAACAGTGGTTGTTGGGGAAGTTGCTAACTTTGCAGCATATGCATTTGCTCCAGCTATTCTGGTCACTCCTCTTGGTGCTCTTAGCATAATCATCAGGCATGACCTCAAATAACATGAGACAATCTGTTGATTTATTTTATCCAGTTAATATATACAAAGTATTCTTTTCCACAGTGCTGTACTTGCACATATCATTTTAAGGGAAAGGCTACATATATTTGGCATTTTTGGCTGCATTCTCTGTGTTGTGGGATCCACAACAATTGTTCTCCATGCCCCTCAGGAGCGTGAGATCGAGTCTGTAACGGAAGTCTGGGATTTGGCAACTGAACCAGGTACCAACCTTTTTTTCTCTTTCTTTTTCTCAGTTCAAACAAAGAGGCATATATTTCCATATATTTGTTTATTGGAGTGCTTATAAAAACAACTAAGATGTGGTTCATGTTCTCTGCAGCTTTTCTATTGTATGCAACAACCGTGCTTGTAGCAGCCTTTATGCTTATATTCCATTTTGTCCCTCGATATGGGCAAACACATATAATGGTCTATATTGGTGTTTGCTCTCTTGTAGGGTCTCTCTCGGTATGAAGCTTATGGTTGATATTTTAATATTTGTTCTGAACTATGAAAGAAAAATACATGTTCTTCTTGTTCTTGATTGAGCAGGTTATGAGTGTTAAGGCTCTTGGAATTGCTCTGAAGTTGACATTTTCAGGAATGAACCAGTTGGTTTATTCCCAAACCTGGGTATTCATGATCATAGTAATTGCATGTATCATTACCCAAATGAACTATCTGAACAAGGTACAGACTTTCTTTTGTCAATGTGGCCGTATTACATTAGTCATATAAGAAATTTTCACTATTTTATGCTTGTGGTTAGATGCTTTCCTACATTTTATCTGACAAGAAATTAAAAAAAACCTTGAGAACTGGTCTTCAATTCCTAGACTTAAGCTGGCATTATGAAATTGATTCTTTTTCTGCTCAGTAAGTTTTGTGCTGACTTAAACAACTTACATTATACTCTATATTAACAATATGAAATGCTGAAATGCTGGTATGCTATTTCCAAGCTACATGAAAGTATTCTGACTTTTTTAGTATAACTAAAGATGAATATTTCATATTTTCTTTAATGATAAGGAGATCTGACCTTACTGATTTTTAATGGTGAATTTCGCAATCCATATTTGGATCAACTAAATATTGGCCAATCCTATGAACTGTTTATTACACGCCACCTTATTCTCAAAGAACCAGACTAGTTGTCAGTGTAACCATATCTTGACAATTTTTTTTTCTATGTGGGCCTTGTTCATTTTAATTGTTTGTCAAAATTATATCGGCTACAAAATATTATTTTCTCTTATCCAAGTTAAGCTTTAAGGTAGTTTTTATCTGGAGGTTAAGTTATTTGGTGGTTTATCTTGCAAAACACGATAGAGTTACACTGTAATTCAGTCAACACAAGCTAATCCAGCTGACACAGGATACTATAAACATTTGGAGAAGATGGAATAAGTTAACATTCGTCTCTTCATGTCACCTATCTATCCTTAACATGACCCTTTTCTTATTTTTCTCTACCTCTAGTTAGATAACTTTCACACAGACAAGCTATCATTATCTACCAAACAACATTTATTT